CCCGGCCCTCTGGCCCAGGTGGGTGCTGAGCAGGCAGCTGGCGGGAGGTTTGCGCCCACACACCTGTTCCTTTATCGTGTAACCCGGTCCTTTCCACTAAATATGCAAAGAGCACCGTTTGGTTAGTTTTTTTCCTGCTGTATGATGTTTACATTGCTGCAAACAGGAATTTTACTGCTCTGCTTTCTTTATTCGATTATTCCTCTGCAGCACCCTTGGTCACCCAGTTTGTTCTGCCTGGTTCTCTCTATTGCCTCTGCAACTCCGGCTCATTAGCGGCGCCACTTTCTCACTGCTGCTGTCAGTTTAATAGGGATTTAAACTTAATTAAAGGTAGTAGCAGGCAAAGTTCAAGCGTATCGGACTTTTTTTTTAAATACTGTTTTGAAAGTGACACGAAGAAGTTGAGGATTGCACTGCCAACTAGCCAAACAGTTGTCATTGTTGCCTTTTTTGTTTCACTGTGAACATCCTGTCAATGTCAGGTTTCTCTGGATGCTGCCAAATGTGTGGATCAGCAAGTGTCTTTTATGTTATACTGTGTGGGGTTTTTTTGGTAAATATTTCAGTGACATATTTGCTTTCCAAATTATTGTAAGGCCCACATGGATGCTTTGCTAGTAACACAATTGTTATGAGTTGGTAACTCTGAAATTTCCTAAACTTATGAAGAGGGAAAGTGGAACATTATCTTCTTTTGCATTTTACAATTTTTTGTAGTTTTCATTACGTTTTCTATATTATATATGTAGGAACTACATCTTTCTTGAATTATTTTTAATAAAATTCATGGTTTTGGGGAAGGAAGAAATTAACAGATTCTCTTCGGTAGTTAATATATAATAAATCACCAGTTGGATATGTCAGCAAGGTTTTGTCAGACCTGACTTAAGCCAGCAAATTGTCTCACTTAAGGTAGTATAATTCATGAATATGGTATTTCAGTCTCAGTTTAAATATAACTGCCCAGCTTTTCATGGAGTTTTGTTCCTCAATAGATAATATTTGTGCTTAGTGTCGGCTAATTAGAAATTGTATACTCTGTATTGCAGAAAAAGAAACCATGGCAAGCATTGCTGTTGGAAAGAAAGAAGTCACTAGAGATCTAGACCACTGTGATATCCCATACTATGTTTCTGAATTTGTGGAAAGAGAACTTGGAAATGACTATGATTCCCTGGGGAAGCTAGACAGCCTGATTGAAAAGCTATCTGAAAACAAAAAGCACTTAGAAGAACAGGTAAGCATCTTTCTGCTTCATTTTGTTTCTTCTGAACACGCTGTAGGACTGATTGAGAATCTGAAACGAAGTGAAATGTATCAGTGGGCCTGATACACAGTGGCACTGCTCTGCACAGTGCAGTGGTTTTGTGTCTGCCTTAACACGTCTCCGTCAATGCAGGTACTTACAGTTTCATCAGAAGTCCCTAAAAGAATTCAGAATGCCTTAAAGAATGCAGAAGATTCCAAAAAGTCTCTGAGTCAGCTTCTGGAGGAGGAGACTGCTCTGTCAGAGTCCATCAACAGGCACTTGCTGGAAGCTGAGCCATGGATGGAGGACCTGGATGTGCTGATAGGTCAGGTGGAGGAGATTGAGCGGCACCTGGCCTACCTCCAGTGGATTTCTCGCATAGAAGAGCTCAGGTACTTCTGAGTGCTGTGTGTGTGTTCTGAGACTGGTGACCTGCTTTATCCCCTTATTAAAATATTTCAAATTCAAGAAGGTTTTGTCTTTACTTTTCAATATCCGAATGATTCTTTTCTGTTGTTGTTAATGAATATTTGGCCTTGTCTTTTTTGTGTTTTGTAGTGATAGCATTCAGCAATATCTGATGACCAACAATGTTCCAGAGGCAGCCAGTACTCTAGCATTCATGGCAGAGCTGGATATTAAACTTCAGGACTCATCTTGTTCTCATCTTCTTGCTTTTGTAAGATCCACTGTTAAATTCTGGCATAAAATCCTTAAGGACAAATTGACAAGGTAACAGAGATACTGTGACCCCCTCATCTTTACATTGTATTGTCAGTTGGTGTCCGAGTGTGTTTATATTTTGTGTTGCAGTGACTTTGAGGAGGTGCTGACCCAGCTCCGCTGGCCCTTTGTGGGGCCACCTCAGTCCCAGGCATTTGGCCTTGCTGCACCAGCCAACGCTCCTGAGGTGTACAGCAACCTGGAGATGCTGTTCTGTCAGCTTCTGAAACTGCAAACCTCGTATCCTTTTCAATTCTTGCAGTGTATTTTAGCAAGAATAAAAACTGTTAGAGATGCACATCCTCAAGTAGAATTATTTAAAATTTTATTCTCCCTAAAGACAGAAGATAATTTATGTTACTTTGTATTAACATTAGAATGTTGTGGGGATTTGGTTTTGTTTTGTTTTATTTGGGGTTTTTTTGGCATTTAGAAAATGCCAAGTGCCAAAGTTGTCCTTTTTGTCAGTAGAAACATTTTAACTCCAAGTCATCAGATCCAGTGCTCTCATGGTAGCTGACAGTGTAGGTTGCATGAGCATTTGGCCTCACACTGTTTGGAACCATTACCCATGCATGTTAATGAAAAAAAGGTGATGTGTGTTTTATTAGACACAGTTAATACTTTTCTTTTTATAGCCCTATGTGAAATAACCTTTAATCAATTTAATATGCCCTGCCCCAGAAGGAAAAACAGAGAAAACATTCATGTCTTGGAAGAAGACTTTACAAAAAGGAGAGACTGCAGGAGGATTTCTGTTGTGCAGCAATCATAGTCTGCCTTTGAGGTTGCTCAGAGGGCACTGCTGCTCATTCTGTCCCTGATCTCTATGAATTAAATAATTCACAAAAGATCAGTTAAAACTAAAGCTCAACTAAGCCTTTGTGTGTATGTGTGACTGTGACTTGTGGCTGCTTTTTTTTTTTTAATCGTGTAGTGTAAAGATGCAAGGCCATTGTGCACAATCCTGAGTTGGTAACAATTTTGGTTTGGCAGAGTGGCTCACTTAAATCCATTAGATGAAAATGGGAATTTATATGTTGCATTTATTAATCCCAGGAGTCTTTGTCCTCCTTTAACAAATATGAATAAGTGTGTCTCTTGGGCAGCCGCTGTGTTTGTTTCTGACAATGGTGGTTTGCTGGGTACTTACAAGTTTCCTAAATCAGACTTAAGGGACATGTATTGTCATTGAATAAATAAACCCTAAAGGCCTGAGTTATATTTAATACTACATAAAGTAGAATATTTTGAGTATCTTTTATAAGGAATTGTATTGTTTTCATAGTACTGCCTTCAGTCAATAGTGTAGAACTGAGCAGTGTTCATTTTTATAAACCCATCCTCTACTGAAATGATGATGCTGGGGTAACTCAACACTTACATCCATCCTTGACTGTCAATCTTAGAGATGAGCTGTTAACCAAACCCAAACAACTGCCAGAAAAGTACCCTTTACCCCCTTCACCACCAGTCATCCTTCCAATGCAGATCATGCTGAATCCTCTTCAGAAAAGATTCAAGTATCATTTCACTGGAAATAAACAAACCAATGTTCTTAACAAGGTATGGGAGAAAGTGGTTTGACATTTCGAAACTGCTTTGTAAGCAACCTCTAGATTGCTGTGTTTAAATTGTATAGATTTCACATTTTCTAAAATCAGGATTCTTCAAATCTGCGCAGCTCTTGTGCCTACCTAAGTGTGGACAGACATCAAGATAGCACTTGGAGACCTTTCAGAGACACAGGCATTTTCTCTGGGTGAGGCAGTATTTTTCCCTTGCCCAGACCCTTCATAAACCATCATTACAATCTTAGACTGACTCCCATCTGTTCACAGGTTTTGATTAATTTCCTCTGTCTTGTTGCAAGTGGTTTTGCACTGTTCTGTATTTCTTAAGCTCAAAGGCTGTGACTTTGATTTTTGGCACTATGTTTTGCTCCCTTCATGTAACTGAAAATGTTAGATATGAAATGTGATTAGTCTAAAGATATTGTTAAATAATTATTTTTTTATTGGGTTGAATTATTAAGTTGACATAAAAGAAGAGATGCTGAGTTTATCAGTTGGAAACTGACTCATTTTTTGTGTGAATTGCCTTCAAAGACTGAGGATTTTTATCTGAGAATTACCATTGGAATAGGTTTCATTGCATTTATGCCAGTGGAGCAGAGTTTAAGAGCTGTTTTGTAACAGTCCTGTTGCCCAGGTCTGCTTATGATCACCATCTTGTGTAAATCTAAATGCATTTGCAATCTTGACAGATGCTACTAAAATACTGTTGTGTATGTTAGTGGGAAAGAGGTGTTTTAGATATGAACAAAATTATTTTAAAGGCAAATGGAAAATCCATGTTCAAGACATTGAATTTGCAAACAATAGGTGAACAATTATTTTAAAAATAAGAACTTACTAAGAAAATGTTAGAGGGAATCTATTGTCAGGTCAGAAAGATATTTCAACAGGGCATTGCTGAAATTTGGTTTAGGTTTTTTGTTTAGCAATTACTTGGATAATGCAATAAAGAAAATATCAATGTGAAATATTTAAAAGACAGCAACCTGGACAAGATTAACAGTATTTCAGAGGAGAGGCTCAGAGTTCACAGTGACCTTGCCCAGCTGGGGAAGGACTGTCAAAAAAACTCAACAATTCAAGCATGATAAAATTAATAAGACAAGTGAAAATGAATACAGAGGTGAGAAACAGACACACAGAATGTGAGTACACCTCAGCAGAATGTTCTTTAGCTGTTGGGAGTGAGGAAACAGGAACTGCTTCCAGTTGCACTAACACTGAAAGAAGTGTTCATCAAAACCTGCAGCCCATACTTTAAAGTGTCGAAACTTGAAAAAACTTAAAGGCATTAAAATGTGAAATGGGAGGGTGATAGATTCCCTACTTCTAGGGAAAGGTGGGGCTCAGGTTAGGTACAATAACAATAAAAGCAGAGCTTTTCTCAAGAGCACATCCTTTTTGTTGTACCAAGAAATAAGGGCCACACAGGAGAACAGGAAGGAGTATATGAAGCAGAAACAAGGCTCTCATGAGTGAAAAAGCAGTAGAGAAAGGGGAAATAAAAATGCAACTTTTGCTTGAGAAACACAATATTTGGTACATTTAAGACAATGAAAATCCAGAAATATTTTTCTGATAATGCTTTTATATAAATGAAAGTTAAGTAAAACAGAGTAAAAAACTTGTGTGACCTGAGATCACGAGAAGGCAAGGAAAGAGAGTTGTATTTTTTAGAAATTTGTCCTAAAATACTAGTAGCACTTGAATAAATGTTTGGATGCATTTAATAATTTCTTTTCTTTTTTTAAATAAGCCTGAGTGGTATTTAACACAAGTACTTATGTGGATTGGAAATCATTCAAAGTTCCTTGATGACAAAATCCAGCCAATACTGGACAAGGCAGGATCTTCAGTCAATGCTGGGGTAAGTAATGAAATGGTTTGTAAATGTGAATATAAATATCTAAGTCAGCTTCTGATAGGTATTTGGCCCATTTCCACTGAAATGGGTACATGGTGAGACTTAGTCTAGTAGCAGTTTCTTGTGTACATGTTTGCACATGTCAGTACTTCCTGCCTCTGACATTCACTTCTTTCCTCCCAAAGCTTGAATTCTCTCGTGCTCTAGTGATGCTGATTTTGGAGAAGTTGGCTGCAGATATTCCCTGCCTGCTGTATGATGATACACTCTTCTGTCACCTCGTGGATGAGGTCCTTCTGTTTGAGAGAGAGTTACACAGCGTCCATGGTTATCTCAGCAGCCTTCCCAGCTGCATGCACATTCTGTCAGAAGAATCCTGCTTCCAGAGGTGGCTGACAGTGGAAAAAAAATGTAAGACTTCCAGTGGATTTTGTTGGCCTTTATATTGCACAGTCACAAAGTATCTGTCTACTTACACAGCTACTCTTCTTAAATAGGATAAGTCACTTGGGCAGGGCTACTGCCAAAAACATATGAATTTCTATGCTCTGTAATTATTCTGAATAAAAATTGATTAGGTTTCAACAGTGCCTCTGTATTTTGTGGGACTCTTGCCCCCTAAGCTGTATGCAATCAAGTAGGCTTATTTTTGGACAAATGTTATGTGTGTACAGACAGAGAGGGACTTTGAATTGAAATTAGGGCGAGGTATTAGTTTTTGAGAAATGAAGAAGAAATATATTGGAAAAGAGTAAGCCAACTATTAAAAAACAAAACCAACCCCCCAGTCAATTCTGGTATTTAACTCTGTTAACTGTGTTGCAAATAGATACATTGAAGCTGGTTTTGTATGAAACGAGTTGTCAGGAATTTTTTATAACCTGAAAATGCAAAATTTAACTTACTAGAGATAAGGCTTTTATGTTAGTATACTTTAGAGGGGATTTGTTACTGTTTTTTTTTTTTAATTAAAAACTTAACTTGCAAGTTTTTTGCATTTCAGTTGCTCTTCAGAAAATGGACTCTATGCTTTCATCAGAGGCTGCATGGGTGTCACAGTACAAAGATATCACTGATGTAGATGAAATGAAAGTTCCAGACTGTGCTGAAACTTTTATGACTCTCTTGTTAGTTATAACAGGTAATTATATCTATGGGCTTTGCTCTTGTTTGTAATGAACAGTAAAAAACCTTCAGCTAACAGACTTCTTTACTAACTAGTTTACTAAATATTCATTGTCAGCAGTAGTCACCAAATAAACTTGCAGAGCTGTGATATTTGCAGTTTAATAAAAACTTCCTCTTCGTTTTGTATTTTGGACTAACTCATGCATGAGTAATCTTGACCTAGTGACATGTTTGCAAAATAATAATTATAAATATATGTTTGATATTAACCATATTCTCTCATAGTTGGCAGAATAAAATTTGTTGCAATTCAGTAATAAATTCTAATAGTCCTTTTGAATCTGTATCAATTCAGAAGCTATTAAGTAACTTCTCTTTTTTTTGCAACAGTACATAAGAGCGAGTTTGTTTTCAGGAGACCATTGCATCTTCAATTTGTCTTTCTCTGTGTGAGGATGCTTTAGGGGCCATGCTGGAGGTGTGGTATTATCACACATTGCCTCAAGTGTTAGAGTACAAACTGCTCCTGGAATCAGGAGGGGGAAGAAAGTCTGCATGTTTAGCTTTTGCATGGGCAGTTTCCCTGAAAACATTGAAATATTGGCTGGTTTAAATACTGACAGCTAAATACTGACTCTATGATGCTCTCATAGCCGTGAGGTGGTGCATGGATGTACCTGATGCCTGTAATGTTTCTTTTTGAAAACTTTTATTTAGTGCTGGAAAGCCTAAAACCATTTTATTCATGTCTTTCCAGACAGATATAAGAATCTTCCAACAGCTTCCAGAAAACTGCAGTTCCTGGGCCTACAGAAGGAGTTGGTTGATGATTTCAGGATACGATTAACTCAAGTGATGAAGGAAGAGTCAAGAGCTTCCTTAGGATTCCGATACTGTGCAATCCTTAATGCTGTTAACTACATAGCAACAGTGCTGGCAGACTGGGCTGACAATGTAGTAAGTAAATACTCTTCTTTAGGAAAAAAATACTCTAAAATGGACTTGGGATGTTTGTTTTGTAACAAACATTTTATTTTCAGCACTTTTTAGGTGCATTCAGGAGAATTAATTACTGAAAAAGTAGAATGAGATATAAATTTGGATTTAGTAAAAGATGTATAAATAAGGACAGGTTACTGTTTGAAGCCTAAGCTGCCAATTATAAACTTTCTAGGGAAATGCAGAGAGAGTTTGAGAAATGGAATAATCTGAAGAGACCAAAAAACCTAGTCTTTTTTACATGCTTTTTATTGTAAAAAAAAAAGAATTGATTTTGAAGATCTCAGCACCAGAGCAGCAGCCTTTGCCTGGTGCTTGAACTCCTCCCATGGCAGGAGAGCTTAGACAGATCCGTGTGTGTGTGTCTGTGTTGCAGCACAGTTCAGGTGTGGCCCAGAAAGGCCATTCACTGATCACTGGGAATTAGTGACTGCTGTACAACAGCCTGGTGGCAGCACAGCCTGGTGAGGAATTGCAGCTTTGCTGCAGCTGTTGCTGAAGGTCAAAAATCCTTTTACACATGGAGTGTGCAGAATAAGGCATTGTGTGGGCTGTGGGCTGCCTCCAAACCCTTCCTGTCTTCACAGAAACCTGTGGCTCCAGCAGGGGATAATCTTGACTGGACAGGACAGCAGCCTTCATGCAGTTGTTTAACTGCATCTACTAGTGTCTTGATCTGCTTAAAAGCAAAACCAACAAGCTGTTGCCACAATGAACTCAATAAACTAAATTTGTTTTCTTGCTGTTGTCAGCACAGTAGATTTATGATTCAATGAATAATCACTGCTAAAAAAATTACAATTAAAGTTTACTTTGGCAAATCTTAAAGAGGCCAAGGTAGGGTATTTTAAAAGCATGCTGCTGTCAGTCTTAAAATATCTTTTCAATATTTCTTTAGATCTCTTCCCTTTACCTATCTGCTGTTGTATCTGAAACCAGTATCAGTTCCCATCACTAGGATTAAACCACCATGTTTTGTTTTTCACTAAATCAGGACCACAGGGAAAGATAAGAAAGTGTTTAAAATCTTAAATTTTTAACTTTTTATAAATGTGCCAGAGGAAAGTGCTTTCTACAACTGTCTAACAAAGTACCGATGAAAAGTTCAAGGAGTAAGATTACTTTCTGTGCTGTTCCTCTCTGGTTTTGTTTGCCTAGTTCTTCTTGCAGCTGCAGCAGGCCGAGCTAGAGGTCCGTGCAGAAAGTGACACCATGAGCCAGCTGCAGCTGGGCCAGCTGGCGTCCATGGAGAGCTCTGTCTTTGATGACATGATCAACCTCCTGGAGCGCCTCAAGCACGACATGCTGACACGACAAGTAGATCATGTCTTCAGAGAGGTCAAAGATGCTGCAAAGCTCTACAAAAAAGAGAGGTGATTCTGTTTATTTAATCTCTTTGCATATTACAGGATTATTTCTTGTTAAAAATATTGAGGTAAGTAAAGGCAAGAATAGATAATAGGCGGTATTTTTTTTTTCTGGAGTAGGAAAGCTGCAGGGTAGTAAGTTGTGTAAAATTCTCTTTATTCTTACCTGGGGACAATTGTCATGCTATGTTTTCTAAAGTAGTTCCACAATTACTGGATGTATTAGTTTAAATTCCTAGGAAAGATTCTGGATAGTTCTAGTTTACTATTTTGAGCAGGAATTATTTTCTTTGTAGTAGTATTGAGGATTTTATGCAAAATGGCCTGTCATGACTGTTCTGTCTTCACAGACTCCTAGGGCTTCTTGAATATTTTCTTCTGAGTAGAATTTCTGAAGTATTTCATAAAAGGAATAGAACTCAAATGATTTTCAGATTAGATGGGGTTCCCTAGAATGACATGTTCAGAGATTTATAACTAAAGCATGAGTTTAATACTAAATGAAATTCAAACACAGCATTAGACTAACTTTTAGATTAGAAATGGGAAAGGATTGTCTCTGAAACATTGTAAATGGGTAAGATTTTTCTTTAAAGGGTAATTTGAACTTCAGTTGTTGTAACATGAATAATTTCACTCTAATGACTGCAGTGCAATGGTTTCTTTAGGTGGTTGTCCTTGCCCTCTCAAGCAGAGCAAGCAGTGATGTCCCTGTCCAGCACAGCGTGCCCGATGCTGCAGACGCTGCGAGACCGTTTGCTGCAGCTGGAGCAGCAGCTCTGCCACTCACTGTTCAAAATCTTCTGGCAAATGCTTGCAGAGAAAGTGGATCTGCACATCTATCAGGAGGTGGGTATCAGAGTGACCTGTGCAGTGCCAGGCAGGTGTCAGTGCCTGGCTCAAACAGCAGATGCTCCTCTTTGTGTTTGCAGATCATTATGGCAAATCATTTCAATGAAGGAGGAGCAGCACAACTCCACTTCGACATGAGTCGGAATTTGTTCCCCCTGTTTTCACATTACTGCAAGAGGCCAGAAAACTACTTCAAGCAGTAAGTAGGCAAACTCTGATCTACTGGTATTTCAGAAGTTAAGTGTCCAGAGAAATGAAAGTGTTCTACTTAAAACCAAGATTTTTTTCAGTGAGTTTTGATCCACACTTTAAAAGTGTGGATCATTTATGTGTGTGATGTTTTCAACTAGGAAAGTTGATTCTGCAGCATGTACTCACACAGCAGCAGACTGTGGCATGTGTCTTGAAGTATTCTGTACAGTCAGGATGTCTAGATAAAATTATGGAAGGAATATTAAGTAGCACAAACCTCTGATTCTGGGGCCAAAGAAACTAGTGAAAGATACAGTTACAACACAACAAACTTTATTGTTAGAAGGACCACTTTAAACTATTTTCCTCAGGATTGCCTTGTGAGGCAGTCTAGTTGCTGTCAGGGATGAGAAGCTGCTACTTTATTTCTGGCTAGCCTATTTCACTAGCCCAGAGTGTCCTCAATAGACCAGCATCAAAATCCTCAGCTGACTGAGACTGAAATCTGAATATTTTTAAACCAACATGGAGCATGGAAGGGTTTTGTTACACTTAAATTTGTTACATTAATCCATGTAACTTTTTCTTTAGCATAAAAGAAGCCTGCATTATCCTGAACCTGAATATTGGCTCTGCCTTGCTTCTGAAGGATGTCCTGCAGTCAGCTTCAGAAAATGAACCATTAAAGCCCAGCCAGCCATCTGCAACAGCAGCACTAAATGAACTTGGAGTTTATAAACTGGCTCAAAGGGATGTTGAGATTCTTCTCAGTTTGAGAGCAAACTGGCCAAATACAGGAAAATAAAGACTTCAAAAATGGTTAATAACGTGGTCTAGATTACATATTCCAAGCAAAAATCTTGTAATATACTTATTTCTTTCATTTCTTATGCTGATTGTTTTAATTAAATCTTATGCCTTATTCTACACAGTTCAAAGAAAAAATTCAAGATGCTACTGACTTGGTGTTGAATTGTGCAGATCTTATTTTCCACGGCCACCTTGCCATTGGAAGCTAAAACTGTTCATCTCTAATGAATAATCTGCCTTGTCTGCATCATTCTAAGGAACAGAGTATTTACAGTGTAAATGCAGTTTTGCACAATGTGGGCTAATGTCCTCTGTGAACTGGTCAGTCTTGAGTTAAAGACAGATGTTTTAGATCTCCAAATTCCAGATAATGGATGTTCTGTATTAAAATGTAGATAATCAATGCAGAAGGAAGGAATATGTCACTGCTTTCTTCATAGAAATTAAGATAGTCTTTTACTGAAAAAAACAATAGCCTAATTTCTTTTAAAAGGTTTCTTCTTATAAATTGAACATTGTGTGCTAAGTTTGAAAATACCACTTGGAAGTGCCACCTGCATTTACATGTAGACATTTGTCATAACTTGTTGAAGTTGTTTTTTCCTTAAAAAAACCCAAAAACCAAAATGCAGCACAAGCCCAAAAACCAACTTTATTTTATTGAGTGCTAATGAGCCAACAGGTAACAATCCTTTACTGTAAACTATGACCTGAAGGAGGAAACTCCAAAATACTATTTCAGTTGCAAAAGAGATCTCTACTTTTTTTTTTTTTTAACTATTTAATTATATTAAGAACAGCAATTCTTAACTATACTCCCTCCAGTGCCTGCTGGACATGCACATGTTCTTGTCACTTGTCCTCTTCAGCTGATTGCTCCACTGAAGGGCAGGGAAGATGAGAAAAAGAGAAAAGAGAATATTGCTTAAAATCAACCCTTCACAGCTGACAAACCAGAAGAAAAACTGGGGAAGATGCCTGTTTTTAATATATATAGCAGACCACTGCTGAAACTAATACACAGACCAGCTCTCCAGCATCTTTTTCTTCCTAAGACAGAAAAAGAAAATCTCTAGTTAGATAATGAGGATAATTAGTTCCTTACCTTTCAGCAATTGCAACAGTTACTAAAAAATTGCTCCTAGAACCATACCTTGACTGTGAGGAATTATTTGAACTCTGAACCTATTTCGTCTCCAGCTATGCTACCACCCCTGACAAAAATGACAACAGGGTCTCACTGTTCCACATTTCTAGATCAATATTTTAATCCCTGGGCTGCCTGATGACTTCACTCTGACCTGAGGGGTGGGTACCGTGAGAGGATCCTGAAAGTGAGGATGGAGGGCATGGAGTTTGGTTCACCTTACAGCAAGGCAAGAAGGTCAGGCACTAACTGACCTCTTTTTTAATCTTGCAATACAAAGTGACACAGTCGAGCTTAAACTAGCAATTTAACTATCTGTTAATTATGTAAGCTTTGTATATAAAAAATAAATCTCAGTAAAATATCTCCTATGCATATGTCCCCCCCCCCCCAAAAAAAACCCCAAAAACCAACACCACAATTTCAATTAAGCTTACATTCCTTCCTTGAATTCATCCAGTGTGATCTCCACATCGTCTTCTAGCTCCAAATCCTCAGTGCTCAGTCCCAAAGTTTTAAGGGCTAAAGTTAAGAAAAGAGAATTTCTTGTGCAAGTTTTTGGAAAGACAAATTTAAATTTAAAGGTGCCTAGATCTAACAGAAGGTAAATGTGTGTAACATAACAACATGTAACTTAAACGCAGGAAACTTAACCACATGTAACCTTTTTCAACCTTCCAAGTTCCAGATCGTGTGGGCAGCTGTGTGGATAATTTTGAAGTATACAGATGGGTAATTTTGAGGCTATTTTAACAGTTCTGTGCAAGGGAGCAGTTTGGTGTGGCCGGGAGCAGGCGGACGCACCTTCCCTGTACTGCGCGGGCCGGATGGAGCCCTGGCCCAGGACATCCAGCAGGCCGAACATGGCCTCTACATTGGCCTCGTCCATGAGGAACGGGTACTCGCCCTCGGCTCGCCTGCCAGCCTTCACCCGCTCCAGCACCTGGATCAGGAACTCTCGTGGCCGCTCTGCAAGGAGGTCAGAGTGCCCGCGGGCACCGGGCCTCAGCCGGGGCGCGGAGGCCGCGCAGCCCCGCCGCCCCCGCTGCCCCCGCTGCCGGCGGGGCCGGGCCTGCGCGCACCGGGCCGGTGGAAGAGCAGCAGCGCTCCGAGGCGGTGCAGCAGCTCGGGCAGCCGGTGCCGCCGCAGGTACTCGCGGCTCTCCTCCTCGCCCGCCGCCATCCCGCGCTGCCGGGGCGGCCTGAGGGGAGCAGCGGCGGGAGCCGGGCGGGCACGGGCGGGAGCAGGGCGAGCAGAGGAGCCCGAGGCGGCGGCTCCGACCGCGGGACGCTCCACGGGGGCAGCGGGAAGGGAAGGAAGAACTGACTGACTTTCCTGGAAGTCGTCACGGTAGCACCGGAACAGCCACGCCTCGCTCCCCGCTGGGTCCCGGCTCTGCCTTGGCTCGTGGGGAAAGCGAATCACTCACGGTCGGTCCTTGGTAACGCCTGTGCGGGTGCTGAGGGCCTGTTAGTCCGGAGGAGACTCATGGTATCCCCCTCAATGCATGTAAATGTCTCAAAGGGCCGTGCCAAGAAGATGTGTCAGACTCTTTTCAGTGGTGCCAGCGAAAGGACGGGTAGCATTGGCCATAAATGAAACACAAGAAGTTCCACCTCGGCAGAGCACTGGAACAGGCTGCCCAGGGCGGTGGCGGAGTCTCCCTCTGCGGAGACATTCCGGACCCGCTGGGATGTGCTCCGGTGTCACCGGCGCAGTGACCGTGCCCTGGCAGCGGGGCTGGCCGGGTGACCTCCAGGGCTCCCTCGCAAGGGTTCTGTAATTCTGTGTTCTCACCTCCAGCCACGTCTCCTTCCACCCACCGGCGGTTCCACCTTCCTCACCTCCCGCCGTTCCCAGGCACAGCCCCGGTTCATCCCGCCCTGGGAGGGGCTGCCAGGATGTTCCCGGAGTTCTACGAGGGGCAGAAGCAGTGGCCAGCAACTGAGAGTAAGAGAGTTTACATTTTAAAACCATTATTAAGTCTTGCAACATAACCTGTGCAAAACTGAAGAGACATCAAAGAAGCTTTTGACTGTACTATCCACTGCTAATAGGACAACCATAATCAAGTAAACCATCCCACTAAAAAACAAACAAACAAACAAACAAACAAAACAAAAACCCCAAAAAAACCAAAAACCTAAGGAAATCTACAACGATATAGCTATCGGCCATCAAATAAAATCAGACAATGATAAATGAGCATATAGTAAAGCAGAATAGTATTCCTGTGAAAAATCTAGTGCTAAATATAATTGACTATTTGCCAAAACTAAAATATCACAAGACATTAATAGAATTCACTTAATTTTTTCTTAGATAAAGTGGGAGAAAGGCAGCATCCAAAGCTGCAGAGATTGTACAGCCATGTGCTGTCTCTCTTCTCTGTTATTTTAAACTGACTATGCTACCTGCTTTTAGTCTCAATTAGGGCTAGAGGAACTGTAGGTTTGTAGCAGTTGCCTCTTATGACAGTTGCCAGGCATTGATGGAAACCTCCTTCTCCTGAGTAAAACATTACTCAATCCATTCCTACATTTGTCTTTCTATGCCTTTCTGCAGAGTTTGCAAAGCATTAGCAAAATTTTTTCCAAAAAAAGAGCCATAGGAGAAAGTGTAGATTGAAATGTGGAGAAGTACAAACAGGAGAAGAGCTGGAGCAGAGGAGAAATAAAGATGTGGAAAATACATTCTTGAAGATGAGAACCTAAGGATAGGAAGACTGACAGGAGAAGAAGGAGCAAGTGAAATACTGGTAGGTAGGTCAGTCAGTGTTTGGGTGAAGGAAACCCAGCATCTGGCAAAGGATGTTTCTCCTTTAGTAGTCAACAAAGATAAACAGTAGAAATACATGTTAAGGCTAAAATTTTAAGAATAAGCACAAGAATTATGGATTTAAGTTTGTATCCCTGAGGAATGGTTAAAAAAAATCTCTAAACAGAGCAATCACAGTTTGATTTACAACTAGAAATGTATTTTTAAAAATTCTATTTCACTATTAGGGAATTACAATTCATTTACTCAAAAATATTCTGATGAAGAATCATGTATTTATTATTTACATAAGAAATTATTATCCTCAGTTCATATAATGATAGTACCTGCTATATATATGGATCCTAAAGTATGATATTTCAGGATAATTTGCAAGGAGCTCCCATGGGCTATTGTAAGGTAAACAGAACTTCTGGTGGCTGAGAAAAACAGGATTTGACACACACCTGAAAGTATCCTGGGTCCATTATAGAGGTGCTGCTAAATAAGTTTTAATAAAGAACTAAAGGACCAAATTATTTTCATCTGTTTAAAGCATCCTGGTTATATAAATCAGATTTCTTTAAAAGGCTTAATACCTGTTGTGATAGAAGCTGAGCCTTATACAGAATATCACTAGTAATTTAAGCCTTTTATCTAATTTAATAGGGCTAAATAGACTACAATGAGCCTTTAAGAGTTGTAATGAAGAGAAACAGGGCTGCAGGTCAGATATGCAGCTGGTTCCAGAACAACCATTTGTCTTGCAGGGTAAAACAGGCAGATGGATGTGTTCTTTCAAATGGGAGTGCCATAAGATTGAAATCTTGGTCAGACAGGAAAAGACAGGAGCGACACAGGCTGGGAAGGATCCCTTGATGTGCCACAGGCTTCCTGTGCACAGCTGCTGAGAGCAGCTCCTTGAGGGCTTTGCTTCCCTCTGCTGCCCTGGCATTGGGAAGCTCTCAGGGAGCCCAGGGTGAGCTGGAGGGATTGGTGCTGCCATTGCTGAGGCTGCTTTGGCAGAGCCCCACTGCAGCTTCCCTCTGGGTGCCCCCAAGCACTTCCAAAATACAGGTGAGCTCCTCATCAGGGGAGTTTATATTGTACATTTACAGAGGAAAGTGCTCAGCTACAGAAATATTGAGCTTCTGAGTACTGATTATCCCAACAGCCAGAACTGCTTTTTTTTTGTTGTTTTTACTGTACAGAACAGCAGAATAATTAAGTTGAAGTTTTCCTCTGGAGATCATGTGGTCAAACTCCCTTTCCTCTTCAAACTGGGCTAATTTCAAAGACCAGCTCAGGTTGTTCACAGCCTTGTCAAAATTTTACTGTCTCCAGAATGGAGACTCCCCAACACCATTTGCTCTGTGTTCCAGTGCTCAGCTGCACAGGAATGGTACCAGCCTGTATCCTTGAACCAAGCCCAGCTTTTCCCACAGAGATGCAGGATAAGCAGTCCTTCACTCAGACATCCTGGAGATAGCACCTCACCGCCCAAACTGTGCCCAAAGCTCTGAGCACAGACCTGTCCAGTTAAAAACTGAAGCCAAGGGAGCAATGAGTGCACCTCTGTCACCTCCCTGTCCTCACATGTACTGGGGCCCATATTTTACTTACTTTTCCTTCCATGTTAATGTACTGGAAGTGTTCTTCACATCCCTCCCTAATTCCAACTCCAGCTGAGCTTTGGGTTTTCCTGTTTCTGTTTCAGCATGCCCGGGCAGTGTTTATTCCTCTAGGGTGCTTCCACAGTCTGTGTCCTTGCCTTTTGCCTCTGGCTTTGTCAGGAGCTCTCCATTCAGCCATGCTGTCCTCCTCCTGTGTCTGCTCAGCTCCCTGCAGGTCAGGCTGGACTGTTCCTGTGCTGCAGCTAGCTCTCCTGGGCCCTTCAGGTCAGTCTCCTGCAGGATTCTGCCAACAGAATGTCTGCAGGAGACAAAGTCTGCTCTCCTGAATTCCAGGACTGCAGTTCAACTATTTATCTTCCTCACTTCCCTCAGAACTGTAAGCTTTGCTACACTGCAGTCGCTGCTGCCAAGGCTGCCAGCAGTGTCAGTCCTCCCAGCAGCCCTTCCCTATGTGTGAGCAGCATGTCTAGCAAAGCCCCACCCGCCTTGTTGAGCCCTTCTGTCAAAAAACTGTCCTTGATGTACTGCAGGAGTAGCTGGATCACCACTTGTGCCATCCCAGTCCTCTCCACAAGAACAAGAGCCCACAGTCATCAGTCTAAGCTGTGAATGTTGGCTTTTCTTTTCCTTTCTCCCAGTCAGCCGCAAAATAAAGGTGAAACCTGCCATCAGAAATGATGTACTGGGAAAAATAAATCAGAATTACAGAAATACTTCTTGTTTCTGAGTCAAGGAGAAGAATAAGTCACAACATGATTGAGATCAGAAGACTTTACTGTAACAGAACTGTCCACTTCTCAGTGGGCTGAAAAGCCACAAAACTGATTTCCTGGAACTATGGATTCCTGCTGAAGGCAAAGGGGAAAAAAGAAGTTACTTGAGCAGGAGCCTGCTTTCTTTGAGATACAGAGTGTATTTCCTGTGTAAGCATGGCTCTGAGCCCATGGCTCTTCAAAGCACAGAAACTTTTATTCCAGCAGTATCTGTAGAATGAGCTCACACTCCACAGGGTGGGAGAGATCAGAGGTCCATCTCCATTGCCTCAGTGTCTCTGACACCCCATAGTTCAAATAGACATTCTGAGCAAAAAAAGGTGGGCATGCAGTTAGGAAGCAGAAGTATGGATTGTGCATCTCCAAAGGTTTGTGTTTCTGAAGAATAACCCCTGACTTTTCCTGTACTTGATTGCAAATCCACACATCTGCTCTAACTGTAGTCACATCAGTCAGTACTTTGTAAAAGCAGAGTTACCAGGAAGAGCACTTGGTGTTACAAACACAAATCCTAAAGAAAAGTAATGTGGAAGGAGTAGCTCAAGGCAAGATTATAAAAACAACAAAAACCCCAAATGCCCAAGAAATCACACCACAAAACTCCCCAACTGATTATGGATCAAAATAAGAGAAAACTAAAGAAAAAGGAAGGCAAATAATTGCAATTTAAGACTGGAGCTGACCAGAGGGGAAGGTTTCTTGTGTAGGCTGTTGAGAACACCTTAGAACTGAGGTGATATATATATATATATATATATATATATATATATATTCTGCAGCTGTGGTGGAAAAGGCAAAGAGGTTGAGCCTGTGTAGTCATTTCCCAGTAGTGAGCTATCTCACTAACCTGTGCCATGGTGCTCCAAATCAGCACTGAGGTAATTTCCCACTGGGAAGGGATGATGGTTTCTGTTCTGCAGTGATGTCTCCTCCATCAGTTTCATCTGCTGCCTCAGTGGGGCCAGGCTGGAAACGAGCAGACAGACAGGGGACTCCCAGGGCTGCACTCGTGTTCATCAGGCCATTCCTTGTACTTACACCAAAAGCCTTCACACCTGTGGGTTCTGTAAATGCACTTTGTCCACAATAAACAGCTTTTCTGAAAAACTACCCTAGTGATGTCACATCAGCCAACTGCTCCAAGTTAGTCAAACCCAGACTGAATTTCAAAGTTCAATATGGCACATTTGGGAAATGGGCAGAGGACACAGCTGAAGGTACTGCCCCATCTCAAATCCCTACTGGTGTCCCTACCCTCAAATCTAATTCTCCTGGAACCTGATTATTATTGCTGGCAAACTTCTCCTAAAGCTTCTCTTCTCCTTTCTGTAGGGACAACAGATCACAGAGTAGACCTAAATATCTTTGGGTCAGCCATAAACAACAATACCCACACAGAAAAGAATCCAGTTTGTGTCATTTGTGGTGCCTTACAAAATGAGAACAAGAGCTCAGCACCGCCTGCCATGGATCCCCCAGGCAAGGGGCAGACTGGCACCTGCTGCTCAATGATCAGCTTT